TTTAAAGTTTCACATAGCCAAAGCCAGTTTTGACTAAAACACACTATGATCATTAGAGATTCAAAATAATTCTTGGCTCTTACCAAACCCAGGCAGAGCATGGCTGAGAGAACCATCCCCCAAGAGAGGCATAGCCCTGAATATGTGGCCAGGAAGATCATGGAAGAAAACTCTCCCAGAAGTCTGAGGCAGAGAATGTGATATGCACTGAGCAGGAGAGCTCCCTTCAGGAAGCATCTCATCAAATAAAGGTCAGGAACCCATAAGCAGTGCTCCCTGGGGCCTGCTGCAAACCAACACTGTTGTCTCTCTTCTCTCTCAGTTGTAGGGGACTTTACAGAACACTATCCTGTAACTGTTCCATGATTGTGTATTGAATGTGTGGAGGAAACAGTTTACTTGTTGTTGTTTGTTTTCTGCTTATTTGTTTCTTCATAGTGTTTCAAAGGAGTCACATCAAGACCTGGGGGACAGTATAGGATATTAATCAGATTCCCTGCCACCGATCAGGAGTCACTGAAAGGGGATCTAACTTGTCTCTCTGCCTCCTGCATGGGAAGAAGAGAGGAAATGAATTCTCAGTTACAGGTGGAAGGCTGACGATGGAGTACACAGCGACTGCTCATTAATATCCAGTTGCCTCTCCTTCCAGCAACCTGGAAGGACAGCAAGTCTCCTGAAGATTGACATGGCTATAGGCCTGCATGGGCTAAAGAAAAGTGAGTAGAAATGGCCTGTTCCACTTCACAGTAGAGGATTTTAAGTTTCAATATCGGCTCTTACAGACTATGGTGATTGATGAGTTACATATTCATATGAAGTTTCAATTGTTAGTCATCACACACAATATAGCTGACCTGGAGGATCCTCATCATTCAAAATGAGCTGCTATGTATGTGCAAGAAATGAACCACTGTTTTTTTTAACCACTGAGATTTTAAGGTTGATTATTATGACAGCATCACATATCAAACATAATATTAATGATGCCCAAAATTTAATAAAAACAGAAACAAATTTTTGCAAGGACAGAATAATCCCTGTTTAAAATTTTGTATTGATTGATTTTAAAGAGAGAGAGAGAGGAAAGGAGATAGGGAGAAACATCTATTTTGTTCCCCTTATTTACGCAGTGCCTGGTTGCTTCTTGCATGAGCCCTGAACAAGGATGGGGTCTGTAGCCTTGACTTATCCAGACAGCACTCAAGCCAGCAGAGCCACCAGCCAGGGCAGGACTAAATGTTCTTGATACTAAAACCTGAATAGAGGAACTTTTAAAATATAGGATAACCTCACTCAATGAACATACATTTAAAACTTCTAAATATTAGCACAAAATTGGAAGAAAATATGAAAGAATACTATATTATAACCAAGCTGGCTTTCATGTGATGTTTAACATTTTAAGTCAAAACAATAATCCACATGAATATAAACATCATTTAATAATCAAGGGTTACACAAAATTATAATGTTTACCAAATATTCAACCATAATAAAGAGATAAATTGTTAACAAATCAGAAGTTAGACAAAAACTTCCTTGCTCTGGTAAAGAGTATATGATATAAATACCATTGTCCATAAAAACTACTGGAAAATACCACTTCACTAATACAGCCACTGAGCTAGCATAATCAAAAAGCCAGAAAATAAAAAGAATTGGTAAAAATATAAAGAAATAAAACTCTTTCTTACACTTTTAGGAGTGTGTAAAATGGTGCAGCTTCCTTAGAAAATGGCCTGAGAGTTTTTCAAACATTAAACATAGAGTTATTATATGGCCCAGCAATTCCATTCCTACATGTATACCCAAGAGAAGTGAAAACATTTGTGCACGCAAAAATTTTTCTATCAATGTTCATAACCAAAATGGAAACAATCCATATGTGCCTCAATTGACATGTGAAATGTGGTATATCTATACAATGGAATATTGTGGGCAATAAAAAGCAATGCAGTACTCCTAAGTGCCACAGCATGGATGAATGAGCCCAGAAAACATTACGCTAGATGAAAAAAGCTAACTACAAGAGCCAATATATTGTATAATCCCATTTATATAGAAGAAGCAGAATGAGAAAATCTATAGAGACTGCTATGGTCTGAGTGTTTGTGTTCCCCAAAATATGTTAGTTGTGTCCCAAAAGATGATGGTATTAAAAATTCGGGCTTTTAAGATTAGTGCTCTTACAAAAGAGGGTCCAGAGAAAACTTTTTCCCCTTCAACCATGTGAGCACACAGGAAGAAGGCACCATCTATGAACCGGAAAGCATGACTTCACTTCCCAGTCTCCAGAACTATGAGAAATTAATTTCTGTTGCTTATAAGCTACCCAATCTGTGGATATTTGTTATAGCAGCACAGATGGACTGAGATAAAGACAAAGTAGATCCTTGGCTGCTTAGAAGGAGTTTCATGGAGGAAAAAGTTGAGTGACTGTTAATTAGAACATGTTCTTTTTGAGGATTACGAAATGCTCTAAAATTGATTGTGGTGATGATTGCACAACTCTAACTAATCTAAAAATCATTGCATTGTATGCTTGAAAAGGATGAACTACATAATATGTGAATTATACATGAATGAGACTATTATGTACAAACAAATGAACAAAACCAAAAAAATTCCAAAATATTCATTTTTGAGAGGGCTCAGTTTGGATTGTTCACACCATCTGAGTCCTGCAGTAATGAACACTAGATAAAAACTTGTGTTGTTGGTCTGAATTTTGCGTTACATACCTAGAGACATAATGACTCTCACCTTTCACATTTCTCATGGCAATCACAATACTTCTTTATACACACATTTACACCAGCCTTGAGTTACTATTTTTCTTTTAACTGGCATGACTACGTGACACCATGCCATAGGCTGCTGTATTGTCATACCCAGGCTTTACCTGTAAAAGATTTGTGAGTTTTTCTCTTTTTTTTTAAGGATGGAGAGTCAGAGTTTTGCTGTGCTGTCAATCTGAATTTTGTCCACATGTCTAATTTTGCATTTAACTTCACTGATGAATATTTTTGTTTTATTTGTTGTCCAAAAATTAGAAGTATTTATTTACAATAATTTTGTCATTCCATGTAACTTCTCCCACAAAATGTTAATTAATACACTCACTCAACAAAATGTTATTAAGTGTTTAGTCTTTGCCAAATCCTATGCTAAACAATAAATAATGTGCCCTTGGAATAGCCATCAAACATGCAAAAACAAGACACTAAGGAAAGTAAAAGAATTTGATTGAGGAAGGATTGTAGAAAATTTCTGTAAAGAAAAGGTCACAGAAATAATACTAAAACCCCCAACTGACTGAAAATAATTCAACCTTTATAGCAGCAAATTTCAACCTGTTTCATCTCACAGCACACATAAAATAATTACCACAATTCTGGGGACACTAAAAAATAGTAAAATTTTGAATCATTCACACAATAGGGCTATTGTTGTATGGACTGTTGTCATTTCTATATCTGACAGTCTAAGGGGTAAGAGGTCAGTCAGTGCCCCTGACTAATCAGAAATTATAGTTTTAAAATTTCCTGCTTCACATCTGTTGGAAATCTCTGCTTTAGAGGCTTGTGGTAGAAGCTCCTCATGAAACTTTGCCACCAGAGGGAGGTAGCACACATGAGATACCTACCCATCCTTAGACAGGAAACACAAACCTTGGAAGATTGCTGACTGACTGATTCCCAGTTCTGAGAAAGCAGTTCATATGCACAGTCACGAGGGGGCGCTGTTGCAATGGGGAACTGAAGCTCCTTCCAGGGTGAGTTAGAGGTTATCCTTGAGCTGTGAGAAAACTTACTTTCACCCCTTTGTCTCCTTGTCCTTTATAAACTCACACTGAGCTTGTGCCCAGCCTCAAGGACATGAATGAGCCCTCTCCCAAACACAGAGCAAAGAGCTGTCCCCTCATGTGAAGACAAAGGAGAGGTGATTAATAATTTAATTTTAAATGGCCAAATATTTCTTCCTATGGTGAAATAAGAAGCTTAGTTATTGCATCAGACAAGAGGAAATATTTTAATTTTATTCCATTTCATTTTGTAAATAATAACTACTTTTGAGAATAACCAGAGAAATTCTTTTCTGTTTACTTCCACGTCTCTTGTCAAAAGTCTTTATTTTATTTCCCTTTGTAAATCTTCTCTTCCTGTCTTTTCCTCCCCTGCTTTTCTCCTCTTCTTCTCAATACATGCAACCCATTGGCAAGGTCCAGGAGATGAGAATATGTCTGTTAAAGGAATAATTGGAATACAAATAAATACCATTCAATTCACTGGTTACAGTGTCAAGACTGGGGCATCCAACAACATCCATCAGAAGGGTGCATAAGACAGCGTTCCAGGAGCCAATGCGGGAGAACTGACAACCTGGCTCCTAGACTGGATTCTAATGGTACAGTATCCTGTCAGACTGAGCTCAGGGGTGTTATACAACTATGAAATTATTTTGGTGTTATATGTTGCAAATATTTTCTTCCACAGTCTCATTGGATTTGTAATGAGCATATGGTAAAATTTTTACACAAGAAAGAAGTTTATAACTTTGTATGTTAAATTATGTATTACTGCTCCTGAGGCTCACTTGCTCTGGCTGGGAATATGGATTGGAATTCTGTTCTCCCTTACAGCCCAAGATTTAATATAGGTGCTTAGACTAAAGGATATTTCACATCAGTTCAATAGTGGGTTTTGGCATGTAACACAAGTGAGGGATGGTTAATCTCCATGGGGATGATACTACTTACTCAGACATATTCAAACATAGACTATTTAAAAATTATCTCAATGCTAACCCTCTGAAGTAGGATTAGACATTGGAAAATCATTCTTACCCCCTTTCTAAATGATGTTTCATTTAAGTTCTAATGACAACACAGCAGCCACTAGCACAGCCTCACCCAGGATGCGTGCCTGAGGAACACCCAATTGAAAGCTTCCTGGGTGAGGCTCTGCTAGTGGCTGCTGTGTTGGCATTGGAACCTCCCCACACCTAGGATCAGACACAGATTCTGAGCTCTGAGGCCTGCAACCCCAGTTTGCACTTGAACTATGAGACCAGTGATAGGAATCACTCTTTTCCTCACTTTGGGTAAGTGACTTGGGTCCGAGAAAAGATGGCTTCATGGCTGAAAACAAAGGTCCAGTACCTGCTGCTTTTACTTCTCCCACTGTACTTGATCAAACTGCTGAGCTGGGGGGTGGGGAATATATCTATGTGTTTCCATGTGTCTGTGTGTTTCTCCAGAAAATCTGGGCATCATGATAAGAAGTTTCTCAAGTTCACGACTCACAGAAGATCCCCTGAGTCACACAGCTCTGAGGTTCTAAGGAGCTTTGGGCTCTACTGAGCCCAGGGGTGGTGGAACACAGCAATTGATCTTTGGCCTGTGGCTCTGGACAGCTCAATAATAAATACCAGTAATATCTCTCTTGTCCTGTGCAACACATATGAAAATGTTCATGTATAGGGCAAGGCCAGAGAAGGATGTTCTGGAGCACTCATGGCCCCAGATTTGATATTCCAGAGCTAATCTATTGTTTCTCATCTCCTCAGGTATTATGGGAGATGCTAAGTCCACACAGCCAGATGCAGTGGAGAGTACTGAAGAAGGAACAGTGCATCTGCCCTGTAACCACTCCACAATCAGTACAAATGAGTACATATATTGGTATCGACAGATTCCCCACCAGGGTCCAGAGTATGTGATTCGTGGTTTAAAAGGCAATGTGACCGAACGGATGGCCTTTCTCTACATCACAGCAGACAGAAAGTCCAGTACCTTGATCCTGCCCCAGGTTACCCTGAGAGACTCTGCTGTGTACTACTGCATCGTGAGAGACCCACAGTGGAAACCATGGGGCTGCACCTGTGCAATATCTCCCTGGAGGGAAGGGGAGCAGCTGTGGCATCTGAAGAGGCCACTGTACCAGAAACAGCAGCAGAAGAAGTGAAAAGGGAAAATATGAAAAAGAAGTGAAGAGAAGACAGTGAGGAAATCAAGGAAGAAAGACTGAAAGGAGACAAGAAGATGAAGAAGTGCTTGTTATTGAAAGGAAAAAAATTGAGAGAAAGGATGGTGGCTTTACTCTAGGCAGCATGTTTCTCGGCTTCTATGAAGGGGAGGGAAACTCGTGGATCAGTGGAGAAACAGAGCAAGTGGCCTAGGTTTCTGAATCATTTTTGAAAGCAGGACATCAAAAATAATTGCGATCATTGAAAAACCAGACGGTAAGGAGACTCCTTCAGGACAAAAGGGACCCAGGAACCAGCGTGGGGACCAGGGGTTTGCAGTCCCCAGGCCCGGTGCTCCCGGGTCTGCCTCAGGGCTCCTGGGAGAGATGAGTCACTGCTCCCTCCTCCGAATACGGGGGTTGAGCAACACCAGGGGAGAACTTGTTGCTTGAAGGCACAGACAGGCCAGATGGGCTGGGGGGCGGAAATCACCCAGGGTCTGTGAACACCCACCCAGAGCCATGGGAGAAGTGAGGGCCTCCAGCCAGCATGACCAGGGGCGGCCTGGAAGTGCGCCCTCACCCCTAGCCCGGTGGGACTGTGGATTGGTTGAAAACCCAGATGTCGCAGCCCCAACCCAGGAAAGGGTGCAGGCGTTCTCAGGATTTGGGAGCCTGCGGTGTTGAACTGTGGAAGCGGACGCCCCATTGGGAATCCTGACTCTCACATGGTGAACCCAGAAGGGACGCGGCACTTAGGGCATTCCTAGAGCCCGAAACTCAAAAATTTGGCGCACCCTTTTACGATTTCCAAAGAGGGCACAGTGAATCCCCAAATGTCGTGGGTGCCTCCTGAGATCATAGAGCTGGAACCCTGCAGGGACCCTGGAGTCCGGAACAACGCGGCAGTGAGCTGCTCGGGAGTGCCCAGGGTCCTGTAGGAGAAAGTCAGACTGGCCCTGGAGATAGTACCTGAGAGACTTACTGAGATTTGGCTGGGAAGAGTGATAAGCATTTCAAAGGTCCCTCAGCCAGCTAAAGCCAGCAAGATCAGAAAAACTGGTCTGGCCAGTTAGAAACCAAGAGGGTTTTTTTGTTTGGTTTGGTTTGGTTTGGTTTGGTTTTTGTGGCTGTTGTTAGTTGATTGATTTTATCTTGTGTTTTAAGTGACATTTTATTTTTCAATTCTTATTATTTTTATATCTCTCAATCCCTTATGTTTCTCTTCCATTCATCCTAGTATTATTCTTTCCACTTCAAATTTATCTCTCTGCACTCCATCTTCTGCTTTTTTAAAAAAATTTTTTTTGATCTTGCAAGTTACTGTAAATTTGTATTATCTTTTTCTCACTTTTCTGACATTTTTTATTTTAATAGTATTTTGGTATTCTTTTTCTTTCTGTAAAATCTTCTTTGCTTAGATGGTTATACTGTTATTTAATAGGTTCCCCCTGGTCTCTCAGTCACAGTGTGTTGATAATTTACTATACTTCATTTGTATTCCATTAATACACCTCTCAAGGTTCTATACTCTTTATTCTCATTATCTAGATCTCATCGATTCTGCCACAAGTCTGTCATTTTTCTATTACTGTTAATAAGACCTAGTTCATACAATTGTAAATACTACTCAATACCCCTACCTGATCTCAGCCCACTTTGCAATTTCCTGAACTATACTATTGTAGGGGTTGTCTCTATTCTTTTGCACACTACTCCTATTTACTAGTCTTTATTCCAACCCTACCTTAGAATCTGACCTCCCACAGCCTCACAACTTTCTAGATCCAACTAACAATCCTCTCGTCCCCAATAAGAGTCTTACTTTCTTCCCATCCTTTCTAAAATATGGATAGTGGGGTGGAGGATAACGGTTAACACTATAAGGAGCCAAAGGATAACCCATCTCTTCTCTACTGGCTGCTAATGTAAATATCATACTATACTGTCTTGCTGTCTTAAACCATTTTGCCTTACTCCTCCAACTGATCACAAAAAAAGTAGGGGGAAGTTGTGAACACCAGGATAAACAAAGGAGACTGGACCACTGAATCTCACAAGTATTCTACCACAGAAGTTCACAACCATAATTACAGGGAACCAGAACAGATCAATTTAAGAAACAGAGGCTAACAAGAAGAAACCCATGAACAATAAGAAAACAAAGAAACAATCCCCAATTGAAGCGAAAGGAGGAAGCCTCAGGAAAAATGCTAAATGAAATAGAGGCAACTCAACTATCAGATAGTGAGTTCAAAACAATGATTATCAGGAAGTTCAATGAACTCACAATGAGCTATCAGAAACTAGAGGGAAACTACAACATTCTCACTGCAAACTATATAAACATGAAAAAGGAAATAGAAACTCTCAACAAGGGCCAAGAGGAAATGAAGAATACAACTTCTGAACTGAAGAACACAGTAGAAGGAATGAAAAGCAGGATTGATGAAGCAGAAGACCTGATTAGCGAGCTGGAGGACAAAGTAGAAAACAGCATCCAGAAAGAGCAAGAAAAGGAAAAGAGGCTTAGAAAGATGAAGAGGGATTAAGAGAAATGCAAGACAATATGAAACATAATAATATCCGTATAATAGGGACACCAGAAGGAGAAGAAGAAGAGCAAGGGATAGAAAACCTAGTTGAAAAGTAATGAAGGAAAACTTCCCTAATTTGATGAGAGAAAAAGTCACACAAATCCAAGAAACACTGAGAGTCCCAGTAAAGAGGAACCCAAAGAGGCCCACTTCAAGACATACCATAATTAAAATGGCAAAATTTCAAGACAAAGACAAAATCTTAAAGGCAGCAAGGGAGAAACAGGAAGTAATATACAAGGGAGCCCCAATAAGGCTAACAGCTGACTTCTCAATGGAAACACTTGAAGCCAGAAGAGAATGGCAAGAAATACTCCAAGTAATGAGAACCAGAGGTCTGCAACCAAGGCTACTTTATCCAGCAAGGCTCTCAATCAAGATAGAAGGCCAAATAAGAAGCTTCCCAGACAAAAGAAGTCTAAAAGAATACACCTCCACCGAACCAAGAGATTCTAAAGGGACTGCTTTAAGGGAGGGAAGGAAAAGAGAGAGAGAGAGAGAGGAACACTCGTCCATAAAAGACAATGAATAAGTACCTATCAATAATAACCTTAAATGTAAATGGATTAAATGCCCCAATCAAAAGACATAGAATAGCTGAATGGATAAGAAAAAATGACCCACATATATGCTGCCTACAAGAGATCCACCTCAGGATAAAAGACCCGCACAGGCTGAAAGTGAAGGGCTGGAAACAAATCTTCCAAGCAAATGGACAGAAAAAAAAAGCCAGGGTAGCAATACTTATATCTGACAAAATAGACTTCCAAAAACTGTCCATAAAGAGAGACCCAGAAGGTCACTTCATAATACTCAAGGGAAGAATGCATCAAGAAGACATAAATATTGTAAATATCTATGCACCCAACAGAGGAGCACCCAAATACATAAAGAAAATCTTAGAGGACTTCAAGAAAGATATGGACAGCAATACAATTATAGTGGGGGGATTTTAACACCCCACTATCAAAAATGGTCAGATCTTCCAAACAAAATATCAACAAAGATATTGTGGCATTGAACAATACCCTCAATGAAATGGACTTTACTGATATATACATAGACCTCCATCCAAATGAAGCTAAATATACATTCTTTTCAAATGTACACGGAATGTTTTCAAAGACTAACCACATGATAGGACACAAAACAAGCCTCAAGAATTTCAAGAAAATTGAAATCATACCAAGCATTTTCTCGGAACACAAGGGATTGAAACTAGAAACCAACCCCAAGGAAAAAAACCCAAAACATTCAAAATCATGGATATTAAATAACATGCTATTAAACAATGAATGGGTCAAGAATGATATTAGGGAAGAAATCAAAAGGTTTCTGGAAACAAATGAAAACAAACTCACAACAACCCAGAACTTATGGGACACAGCCAAGGCAGTCCTGAGAAGGAAGTTCATAGCAATACAGACACACCTAAAAAAGGTAGAAACATTCCAAACAAACAACCTAACCCTACCCCTTTGTTGTTGAGGAACAACAACAAAGAAAGCGCAGAGCAAGCAGAAGGAAGGAAATAACCAAGATCTGAGCAGAATTAAATGACATAGAGACTAAAAGCACAATTCTAAGGATCAATGAATCCAAAGCTGGTTCTTTGAAAAGATAAACAAAATCGACAAGCCTTTAAGCAGACTCATCAAGGAAAAAAGAGAGAAGACCCAAATAAACACAATCAGAAATGAAAGAGGAGAGATTACAACAGATACCACAGAAATACAAAGGATTGTAAGAAATTACTACAAAGAGCTGTATGCCAAGAACTTTGAAAACTTAGGTGAAATGGACAAATTTCTTGAAAAACATAATCTTCCAAAACTCAACGAAAAAGAAGCAGAAAGCCTGAACAGACCAATAACAACAAAAGAAATTGAAGCAGTAATCAAAAAACTCCCAACACACAAAAGCCCGGGACCAGATGGTTTCACAGGAGAATTCTACAAAGCATTTAAGGAAGAGCTAACCCCTGTCCTTCACAGACTATTCCAAAAAATCCAAAAAGATGGGAGACTCCCAAACTCTTTTTATGAGGCCAACATCATCCTAATTCCAAAACCAGATGAAGATACAACAAAGAAAGAAAACTTCAGGCCAATATCACTGATGAACATTGACGCTAAAATCCTCCACAAAATACTGGCAAACTGCATCCAACAATGCATTAAAAAGATCATACACCATGACCAACTGGGATTCATTCCAGGGATGCAAGGATGGTACAATATTTGCAAGTCAGTAAATGTAATAGAACACATAAACAAAAGCAAAGACAAAAACCACATGATCATATCAATAGATGCAGAAAAAGCATTTGATAAGGTACAGCACCCATTCATGATAAAAACACTTGGCAAAGTGGGAATAGAGGGACCATTCCTCAACATAATA